TTCCATATTTCACGGTGGTCTGTGCATGTGGGAGGGGACACCCCAGTTTATGAACTGTACAACCCTCCCATGGGGAACCTCCCAGGCACTCTTAGGTGCTCATGTCTAGGAGATGTGGGTCTGCTCTTGGGCTGTTGGGGAGACACCTGAGCAGGCCCAAAAAGAGTTCAGCGCTGTGTAAGAAGGAATAATGGGTGTTTAGTACTAGACTGTGGCCTGACGGGGGTGGTAGCACAGCTCCCTGGCCATGGCCTCCTGGGAGCTTCAGAGGTGGTGTATGTGGAGCAGTATGGTCAGGGGGTGGACAAAGAGGCCCACTGAAGGTGGGCCCAAGGCCTGATGCCAGTGGGCCATACCTGTGGATAGTGCTGATACCAAACATTGCACTGATTGCTGATATTGCAGGCTATTCTATAAATCAGTAGTAACGGGCAATGGACAAAAGAACATGGTATATATACACAGTGGAACACTATGCACTGTAGAAGAATGAATTCACATCATGTTGAGAAAAAAATCAATGGATTTCGGGATCACAACGTTAAGTGAAATAAGTCAGACAGAAAGTTAGATACCACATGGTTTTTGAACATATGCATAAGGAGTAAAATAAAGGTAGACTTTTTGAAGCTGGGGAAAGGAGTTGGGGGAGGGGGAAGAGGGAATTTAGAGGGACACAGGAATCAAAAATTACCAAGATATGTTATACATGTGTGGATTTCCCCCCAAACAAATGTAAATATCATGTATTACAAACATATATCAATAAAAATATATATATAGAGAGAGTAGAGAATAGGTAACCAGGGTAGAGTCTTTCTACAACTTAGCATCACTAAGTGCTTTATTGAAATTCCTCTTGACAGGAATCACTAAAACCTCAGGCTTGCTTTCTGACTGACTCTAGTTGCAATAGCGGCTCCACCAGTGCGGAAGGGAGAAAGAAGCCAGAGTTGGGAGCCAATTTATAAAGACCGGACAGAATCTGTATTGGGAGAGAATCTCCTTCCTCTTGGAGAGGGCTCCAAAAATCTGTGCTCTGCTTTGCAGACTTCTTTGCCACACATCTACTCCGTTATTTTCTTTCAAGTTCTCAGGTTATAGGCTTTGAACTGGACCATGATCTCCCTTCCCATTCCTGTGAGCTCTCTCTATACACAGGAAGAGAGAGCCTTAGGAAATAAGTTGGTACGGGAGCTGACTCGGCTAGCACCACCCCTTGCTTCTCTAGCACTTGGGACTGTCACTGCCAAAGGTGCCATTCAGACACCTCCCAAGGGCGCTAGTCTTCTTTTTCTTTCTCTTAAAGTACTGGGGATTGAACCCAGGACCTTCACATCTAAATATACCCACAGTCTGCCTTTATTTTTAATTTTAAAGCATTAAGTTGCCCAAGCTGGGCTTGAATTTGCAATCCTCTTGCCTCAACCTCTCAGGGTGCTGAGATATCAGGTATGTACCATCACACCTGGCTCCTTCCTTTTCTCTTTTTTGTTTTGTTTTTTTTTTGAGACAGAGATTTGCCATGTAGCTCAGGCTCAAACTCATGGCAGGCTTCCTGTTTCAGGCTCCCAAATGGTTGGGATTACAGGTATGTCCCACTACACCCCGCTGTTTCTTTACTCTTGACGTAGGTGAAATCTTGCTTCACTGTTGTACTCAGCGAGCTCATTGTATCCTTCTCTCACTCATATTCTCTCTCTCTCAATGTGAAAACTGACCACCCTTTACTTTCTGGTAGTGCTATCTTGAGTTTTCACAGGGAAGCCCGCATGCATTCATCCCTCTGACAAGGTCCAGGCTTTCCTATTTTAAAAGCAGTGCCCTTGAATCCTTCAAGGAGGGCTTCATTTAATTTGGACCTTTTGGGCCTAGGTTCTTGGTTCTTCATTCAGACCTTGACTATGGGCTGGGGATTTAGCTCAGTGGCAAAAGCACCTGCCTGGCAAGTGCAAGGTCGTGAGTTCGGTTCCCGGTACCGGAGAAAAACCAAAAAACAAACAAACAATCAGACCTTGACTAGTTTAAGAGAGCTTTCCAAAGAGCAACTGAGGCCACCTTCTTCACAGAGGAAATAAGGTGTGCTGCCCAGCTGAGTGCCCTGGGAGGGGTGCGAGATCATCCGAAGGTTAGAGGGTGACCTGCCTGGGGTCATGCTTGTGCGCACAACTCTGAGGGATGCAGAGAAAAGCTGGCCTTGCCACACCGTTTCTGCGGCCGTCTCGCTGGCCTCCAGGGAGTCGCGTGGGCCCTGGCCAGCACTCTGACAGGACAGTGACATGGCTGTGCATGCAGAAGGGCTCTGTGATCCAAGAGACAGCCTGTTCTGCCAGAAATGTGGCTTTGGGAGGACCCTAGGAAATATGTCAGTTGAAGGACATGAACCTAAGAAAAAATGACCTTGTAAGCAGAAATCAACTCCTGTGGCAATATGTGATGTTAGGCAATGTTTGTGGCATGAAGGGCACCCTCTCTCTTCCACTGCCTCTTTCCCCTCTCCTCCTTTGGTGTCCTGTGTTGGTGACAATAAAGCATACAGTCCACAGGGAGTGCTGTCCTGAGCAGGTGCTGTGGGCAAGCTCCTCTTGACAATGACATTTCTGTTTCTGTTGAATAGGAAGCTCTGTCCACTTGTCCTGATGTCTCTAGGAAGACGGGGCATGTGTCTTTTTAGTTTTGACCAGAGTAGGGAAACTTTAACCAGAATACATTGTGAGCGTGAGGTTTACTCACAGGGCATGGTCTTCAGCTCGACATTACCCCCTAGTGGGGTAAAGTAGAATTACTACTTTAAAGGTTGTTTAATGAGGTTATATAGGATGCAACTGAGTGGGTTAGCCTGGAGGCTCTGAATTGTCCCTGCTTTAAGGCAAATACAAAGCAGGTGTTAGGTGATAAGTCACAAGGCAATCCCCCTCGTGGGAGATTTAAGCTTTTTTTTTTGAGGAGTTAATAAAAACTTCCTCTTCACTTGTTCCCCTCCAGTTCCCCTTGGCAAAAGTCAGACTCACCCTCATCCGCCTTGGCAGAACCAGATATTCAACTCTGACGAACGACACCCTCTGCTCGGGCTGTTCTGACCCACGAATAGCCCACGCCGCTCTCTGGCCCACGGACAGCCTCTCCCAGAAAATGTCCTGGCCCACAGACACCCTCCCAAAAAAGGACAGCTTAAAAATCCCAAGCTTTGCTCAGCTCAGGGCTGTCCTAGTCCGCAAGGCAGCCCACCATGTCGCTCTCCCCGCCAATAAAGACTTCTCTCGTGTCAGAAGGTCTGGTCTGGTTCTCTGTGGTCTCAGCCAGATCATATCAGTAAGACTATCACAAAAGCAGGAGTGATGGCGCACACCTGTAATTCAGCACTCTGGTAGGATGAAGCAGGAGGACTGCAAATTCGAACCGAGCCTGGGGAAGTTAGTGACTTAGCGAGACTCTGTCTAAAAAAAAAAAAAAACCCCAAACAAAAAACAAAAACAAAAATAACAACAAACAAAAAACCCCAACAACAACAAAACGGTGAAAGGGTTTGGTGATGTAGCTCAGAAGGCTCTGGGTTCAAGCCCTGATACCAAGCTGGGGTGTATGTATGAGGGGAGAATAGCATCAAAAACACGCCCACCGTTCTTCGATAAGCTACCGGCCTTCAGTAAAGGCAGAGCAATTCATTCTACTTCATGACCTCCTAAGCCATATTCAATAGTCTAAATACGAAATATCTTCCCTTTCATGTTATTCTTTCATTGCTGTCATAACTTGTGGCATAAGTGGAAACAAAAGAACAGAAACCATACATAAAAATGCAACAGCTTTGATCTAGTGAAAATGATGCATGATTATATAAATGTATTTGTAACATGAAAAGGTAGAAGACAAATTCAAAAGTAATCTCAAGGACCAATAAACATTTCAAAAAGGATTCAGCCTCCTTACTCAGAGAGACATTTGGATGAGAATGAGATATTGTCTTTCATCCATCAGGTTAGCGAGAATGGAAACTGTTAACTTTAAATGTTGGGGGTGTGTACGAAACTGCACCAGTTGTCGATGGAAGTGTTGATAGGTGAATTATTTTGGAAGGCATACTGTCAGTATCAGTTAAGATTTTAAATGGCATAGGCTTTGATTCAATAATTTTACTTTTTCAGCTCTGTTCCAAAGAAATATTTTTACGTATGTCCCATATCTCTTTAAAATTTTATTAATTTCCATGATATTTCTAACTAGAAAATTTCTACATAGAATGAAAGTCCATCAACTGAGGCAGGGGGCCAGGGAGAAAATGTAGGTGTCCTTAAATTATAGAACACTCACTTTCTGTGAAATACTGAGCTATCATTAAAATAAATGAGATAGAATGTCATATACTGATTTGAAAACACATGATGCTACCGGGTAGTTCCTTTAGAAATGGTTTGCCAAACAAAAGTATTCCAGGTCCTTGTCTTGAACAAAGAATTGGATGAGATAAACCAAAAATGGTGCCAAAAGTTTATTTTTAAAGGAGGGATGAAATGGTAAGATAAGGACTAGCTCTGCAGAGCAAACTTAGGTCAAACAGAGAGAGAAAAGATCAAAAGTAATAACAAAAGTCCATGCTGGGCCAGGACACCCAGTGTGGGCTGTGGGGAAGAGTCATGATGACAAGCTTCTCCTGGTGTCGCACCTCTTTTATGCTGTCCACATCTCATGGGAGCTCTCCGGAAATTTCTGAGAATTATTTAGTGCCACCCTGAAATGTTGAAATTCACAGGTCCTGCCCGCTTCTCCAGCCAGTGCTGCACTGGGGTCTCATAATTTACAGGTCCTGTTTATTTCTCCAGCCAGCTTTGCCATGCCCCGCCTCCTGTATCACTATTGTGGCATCATACAATAAATACTGGACACTTCACTACAGATTATAGAGGAATGTCGTCCAAATTCTGATGCTAAGGTTAAATTTTGAGCTTCTGGCAATATTTCATAGTTCATACTTACTCCTTATTGATTTATAATAAACTTACTTTTACTTCCAGGGCTTCAAAAGTCGACACTATGCTCCATTTCCCATTCTCAGGTGTGCATTTGCAGATGGAGATGACAGAGGGGTTGAAGTGTCACACCTGGACCATACCGCACAACAAAGGATGCTATGACTCATAGAGCAAAATCAGCAAGTGTGAGAAATTGTGGCACCTTGGATGTTTTTGGTTCCTTACCAATGGCTGCCAAGAAATCATAAAGATATAGTGGTGCCTGATTATAAACATTCTTTCATGCTTGCCTATCACCCTGTAGGAAGTTGGGATGTTGAGAGGTTTGAAGGAGGGGAAATCTGACTGTACTGAAGTCTGAAAGGGATCGTGCAGGCAGTGCTTTAAAAGACCAACTGGAAGTCGTGAGGGGAGGAGCTAGGAGCAGAGAAAGAAAATGGTGACAAATGGCAATCTTTGCTGTCATCCAAAGGTTTATTTTAAAATACTTACCAGAAACATTCATACACACATAGGAAAGTATACCATCATGCACTACAGATCAGACTATTTTTTGCTTGTCATCAATTGAAGAGTAATTTTATCATCCTTCGATTGACCAATAGCCAAAGGGTCATTTTTGAATAATTGCCTTTCAGCCAGTAAACAGACCCACCACAGAAACTATTGGAGTTGCTTAAGTCAAGGTCTGATTTTATAACATTCCGCTGGAGCACCAACCTCTGATTCTTCTTTTGTGCCACACTTGGGGCTTACGGGTTGGACCATCAGACATTGTGCAGAGGTGTCAAGAAGGGATGCTGAGAGCCTGCTCAGTACACAACAGGTGAGCTATGTCGTGTTCTTTCAAATAAAAAGCAACTGATCTTTTCTTGTTATGTGACTTGGGACTGCTACTTTTGCTTAAGGATGACCTATAAAAGTGCAATCTGGATTTGTCTCCCTGTTTCCTGTTCTCTTTTATTTTGCTCTTTAAATTATTTACACTTTGGGCTTCTCATATAAGAGACACTGTGTGATGGTCAATCTTTTGGAAGTGGGAACAGGGCCAAGAGACAGAGAGTTGGGGAAGGGAGAGGAATAGGGCAAATGAAAAGACTGCCCTGGAGAAACACCAAAGAATTCTCACTTTCTCATTCTCACTGTTGTTGGGTCGTATACACACAATTCATTAACATGAACATGAATTATAACCTACTGAGAAAAATATAATTTAGGCAACACTCCTTTTACTCATTCTATATGCTGTTGTTCTGCCTAGACTTGAGATATCCTGGTCCTCCTGGAAACTTATTTATAAACTATTTCTTAGAACTGCTCAGTCCTTTAAAATGATCTGTCTTATCCAGTGTCTCACTCTCTTCCATTAACAAGTTCAGAAGCTTTGCTATTTTTCCTCACTGTACATTTTGATTTGTGCACTTCCTACCTTTACAAACTTTTCCCCAACTTCAGCCTATAACATAAGTAAAACACCCAAACATCTATTTCCAGACCTGATTTTGCCCATGAGCTCTGTAAATACTTTTACCCTCCCACTGGATGTCTGCACTTGATATTCACTGATATCTCAAACACAGCCGCTACATTAGTCACTTTTCTTTTCAAATCCTCACCTTATCCCCATACTCATATCCTAGTCAATGGTGCCATGATGCACCGGTTGTTCATTCTAAAAGTTCTGGCATTTCCTTCAATGTCTCCCTTTTCTTTGAGTCTTGGTTACTTCGATCTCATAATGTAAGTTCTGTAGATTGTTTTCTTTTTTCTTTTTGCTAGGACATATTTGCAGTAATGATGCAGTACCTTTATCGTGGGGAGATGTGTTTGTACATGTACATAACTCATCTTAATTCTTATTTTTAGCCCATTCCCCTCCCTGCCCTCCCTGCTCTCTCCAACTCTTCTTCCCTTCCCCATTTGCAAAAGCTCTATTTCCATTTTTTCACGTCAACTCTATTAGAATCTGCCTTTCCTTCCTTCCCTCCTCCCTTCCTCCATATCATGTTCCCTTTCCCATTTGAAAAAAAGATCTCCTTATTTCCTAATATCTGCATTTTATTTTGTTCCTTATTTACACTTTGGGTTTCTTATACAAGAGAAAAAATGCATTATTTAAACTTGTATGTCTGATTTATTTTGCATAACATCATGGTCTCAAAGTGCATCCATTTACCTAAAAATGCTTCAGGTTTATACTTTGTATGTATAAATACCACACTTTTTTACCCATTCATCTGTTGATGGACATACAGACTGTTTCCAAGATTTAGCTATTATAAGTTGTACTGCTATGAATATGGGTACACAGATATCACTGTAGTATGATGACTAATTCTTTCAGGAAGGTACATGGGGGGAGTAGCTGGGTCAAATGGAATTTCTAGTTTTAGCTGTTTGAGGACTCTCCATATGGATTTCTATGGTGGCTTTACCAGTTTATACTCCCACCAGCAATGGAGAAAGTTTCCTTTTCCTCCTCACAGCCTCATCAAGACTCATTATTGTGTGATTTCTCAATGTCAGCCATTCTTTCTGGAGTGAGATGGAATCAGTATTGTTTTAATTTCTCAAATGGCCAATGACTTCGAACATTTTAAAATATACTTATTGGCCATTTGTACTGCTTCATTTGAGAAGTGTCTATTCACTTCAGATGCCCTATTTTGAACTGGGTCTATAAATTAGAGGGGGACTAGTTTTTTGGGTTCTTTATATATTCTAGATATTAGTTCTCGTCTGAGGAGTAGCTGGCAAATTTTTTCTCATCCTGTAGGTTGTTTCTTCACTCTGTTGTGGTTTCCTTTGCTGTGCAGAAGCTTTTTAATTGGATGTAATTGATTCTTGGTATTATTTCTTGTGCAAACATAGTTTTATTTAGGAAGACTGCCTACACCTATGCCATTAAGAATTTTACCTATTTATCTTCCAATAGATTATTTCTGTTTTAATATTTAGATTTTTGATCTATTTTGATTTTAGTTTAGTACATGGTGAGAGATATGAGTCTAGGTTCAATCTTCAGCTTGTGAATAGCCTATTTTCTTAGCACCATTTGTTAAAGAGGTTTCCTTTCCTCCAGTGAAAGGATTTGGCCCATTTGTCAAAAGTAAGGTAGCCAGGTATGGCAAGAGTAGGTTTTACATTCTGTATTCTGTTCCATTGATCCACAAGCTGTTTTTTCCCCCAATACCATGCTGTTTTTATCACTAGTTTCTAGTACAGTTTGAAGTCTAGTATGGTGATGCCCCGTGCCCTTCCCTTGTTGCTCAGTGTTGCTTTTGCTGTTCTAGGTCTCTTCAGGTTCCATATGAATTTTAGGATTATTTTCTCTAGTTCTGTGAGGAATGCTATTGGTATTTTTATTGGGACTGCTTTAAATTAGCATAACAATTTTGGAAGTATGGCCATTTTCATTCTATTGGTTCTACCTACCCAGGAAAAGGGGGTAGCTTTCCATATTTGATTTCCCTTTTTCTGAGTACTATAGTTTTCATTGTAGAGTTTTTCACTTCCTTGGTTAGGTTATTCCTGATGCTATTGTCAAAGGTGTTGTTTCCCTAATTTCTCCCTCAGAAAGTTTGTTAATGGTATACAAAAATACTACTGATTTTTGAGTGTTGACTTTGTATTCTTCTACACTATTGAATTTTGATATAAATTCTAGGAGCCCTTGGGGGTTTTCTATGCAGAGGATCATGTCATCAGCAACTAATGATAATTTAACTTTTTTTTTCTATCCGTATCCCTTTTATTTCTTTCTCTTGTCTAATTGCTCTAGCTAATGTTTCAAGAACTATATTGAACAGAAGTGGTGATAGCGGGGATCCTTGTCTTGTTCCTGATTTTACAGTGAAAGATTTCAGTTTTTGACAATTTAGTCTGATATTGGCCATTGGTTTGTCATAGATGACTTTTATCAGATTGAGATAAAGACCTTGTATTCCTCTTTCTTCAGGGTTTATATCATGAATTGATGTTGTCATTTGTCAAATGCTGTGTCTATTAAGATGATCATGTGCTTTTTGTCCTTGATTTGTTTATGTGGTATACTGCATTTATTGATTTGCATATGCTAAACTATCCCTTCATTCCTAGGATGAATCCTACTTGGTTATGGTGTATAATCTTGATTTGCTGCATTCTGTTTGTCAGTCTCTTATTGAGGATCATTAAATCTATGTTAATTAGAGATTGACCTACAGTGTTTTTTGTTTTGTTTTGTTTTGTTTTGTTTTGTTTTTTTAGTTGAGTCCTTTTCTTGTTTTGGAATCATGGTAATTCTTGTTTCCAGAAATGACTTAGGGTATCCTGCTTTCCTTGGATTTCATGAGTTTGAGTACTATTGGCACTAGATCCCGCCTAAAGTTCTTGCAGTATTTGTCAGTGTATCTATCAGGACCTGGGCTTTTCTTAGTTGGTAGGTTGTTTTTTTTTTTTATATTACTTCTTCAATTTCATTGACTGATATTGCATTATTCAGTATTTTTATATCTTCAAGGCTGAGCTTTGGTAGTTCATGTGTATCTAGAAATCTATCCAGTTCTAAATTTTTCATTTTATCAGCATACAAGTTCTTAAAGTAGCTACCAATGATATTCTAGATTTTGGCAGAATCCATTGTGATTTTGCCTTTTTCATTTGTAATTGCATTGATTTGGGTCTTTGGACCCAATCAATTGCATTGATTTTGGTAAGTTCTGCTAAGGGTTTGTCTATTTGTTTAATCCTTCAAAGAACTAACTCTTCAATTCATTGGTGTTTTAGGTCTCAGTTTCACTAATTTATGCTCTGATCTTTATAATTTCCTTCCTTGTAGTTATAATTCCTTCCTCGTACTATTTTTGGATTTAGATTATTCTTGTTTTTCTAGAGCTTCGAGGTACATCACTAGGTTATTTATTTGAACTTCCTGTTTTTATGATGGAAATTCACCACTATAAACTTCCCTCTAAGGAAGTTTCCAGTGCTCCACTTCCATGATAGTCCCCTTTGGGACTATAAACTTCTCTCTGAGGATTGCTTTTATTGTGTCTCATAGGTTCTGGTATGTCATACTGGCATTATTGTTTGACTGTAGGAACTGTCTGATTCCTTGTTTTTTTCCACAGAAAGTGTTTATTGTTTTGCTTTTAGAATAAAATAAGAAACTCTTGGAAAGTTTTTAGAGAGAATATTGTAGAACTTAGAACTTTTCAAAAACACTACGTTGTGAGCAGGTGAGGTAAGCTTGCCCACATAGAAAACATGGCAGAGGCAGGTGCCTGAGCTCAGAAATGGGGTCTGTGCTTGTGGCTGGTGTACTGGGTATCAGACTGGCCATCTTTACCCTGCCATCTGTGGTGCTCTTTCTTCTCCAGCACCCACTCTTGGCTCTTTACCACACTCCACTGTGTGATCCTGTATGGGACCTTGTATCAAGAGAAGGCTAAGATGTCAGGATGGCTGCCTGGCTGGCCTTAAATCCCTGCAGGGACAGTGGTAAGATTACCTCTGGAGTGAGTGGACTCAGACACCCCTTCTTTCCAGTGCTCCACTTCCATGATAGTCCCCTTTGGTTATCTCCTTCCTGTAGTGTGCACTGGGGCCAGTTGGGCAGGTGTAGCAGGAGAGCTTGGGGTATGCAACCCCTCACTTGTGCATTGAACAAATAACCATGTGTCCAAATACACACATCCTACCTGTGGTGGCTGAACTACTCTGGAGCAAACTAGGCCAGCATCAGGGCCCAAGGAGGAAGAGGTCTTACCTAAGGCCCTGGTCCAGCTCAGGAGTTAGCGTGCCTGCTATAAGCCAAATCCCCAGCTACTACACATGTCCAAAGCAGGAAAACAAAGCTGTCTACTCATGAGAGCCCTGAAATGATCTTGTAGGGCTGACCTTGGCCTCTGGTCCTGAGTGAGGAGCAAAAAACCCCCAGCACCCGAACGGATGAGAGGCCCTATCTAATTCTTTCTTGAATCTCATCTATGATCCACTGATTATTCAAGAGGGTATTATTCGATTTTCATGTGTTTGCAAAGTTGTTGTGTCTTTTGTCATTGATTTCTAGTTTCATTGTACTAAAATCTGAAAAAATGCATGGGATAATTTCAGTTCTTTTGCATTTACTTACGTATGCTTTATGGATTTGTATGTGGTCTGTTTTGGAGAAAGTCCTATGCGTTGCTTAGAATATTCTGTTGTTGGGTGGAACACTCTGTAGATATCTAATAAATTCATTTATTCAAAGGTTTGGTTCACCTCTGACATTTCTTTATTGATTTTTTTTGTCTAGTTGATCTTTCCATGTGTGACAGTGGGGTATCAAGGTTCCCCATTATAACTGTATTGGTGCTTATCTGGTTTTGCATGTCCATTAGTGTCTGATTTATAAAGTTTGATGTGCCAGTACTCAATGCGTATGTTTATAGTTATTTCTTCCCATCAAATTGTATGCTTAACCAGTATGTAGTGACTCTGTCTTTTTTGATCAGTCTTGGCTTGAGACTCGCTTTGTCTGCAATTAGGATAGCTACTCTTGCTTTTTTTTCTAGGTCCCTGTTACATGGAATATTGATTTGTATTCTTTGATTTTCAGT